CCACGACTACATCTACTACTACCACTACTACTTCTGCGACTACTACGACTACGTTTATTATTGTTTTTCTAGCATTACGACTGCTATTATTATTACTACTACTACCACGACTACTACCACTACTACCACTGTTACGACTTCGACTACTACTGCGACTGTTATTATGTTGCTTCCTACAAGTGTATCCGGCTACTGCGATTGCTGCGACTACTTGTATTATAGATTTGTTTAACCCCGCGTGCTCTTCGTCCTCCCCTTTTCCTCCTCATCCGCCTCCTACTTCTTGCCCTTGTCCGTTTCTTCCGGGGAGGATGAGGAGGAAAACGAGGAGGAGAAGGAGGAGGAGGAGGACCAGGAGGACCAGGAGGCGGACGACGACGATGCCTTTTTCTTTCCAGCTCACGGCATCGAGGAGTTGGCGCAGCTGCAGGCGCTGATCGTCGAGCACAAGGCGCTCCTCAGGAGCCGCGGTCACAGCCTGAGCCAGCAAAAGAAGGACCTGGCCCGGCCTTCTGGCGGCCTCGGAGGCCGCCAGCGGCGGCGTTCGGAGATCCTCTCTAAGAAGAAGAAGAAGAAGAAGACGAGTTAGCCTGGCGAAGGGCCCAACCATATGCAGTTGTGCGTGCCCTCGTTGTGAATATTACCGCTGGTGGATCTTCTTCTGGGGCCACGAAGCGCGTGAAGGGTGTGCCGAAATGTGGCGGGGCCGCCATACGGGCGCTGCCAGTGGGGCCTTCGGTGGAGCTCCCCATGGGGCCACGACACGTGTGAGGGATTTGCGGAAATCGAAGGTGGAACCGCATGCGGGCGCTGTCCCTGGTGGAGCTCCCTATGGGGCCACGAACCGTGTGAGGGGTGTGACGCTGGAATGGGGGTGGAACCGCATGCGGACTTTGCCACTGGTGCGTTCGGTGGAGCTCCTTATGGGGCCACGAAACGTGTGAGGGGTGCGCCGAAATGGGGGTGGAACTGCATGCGAACTCTGCCACTGGGGCCTTCGGTGGAGCTCTCTATGGGGCCACGCACCGTGTGAGGGGTGCGCCGAAATTAACATGGAATTGCATGCGAACGTTGCCACAGGGGCCTTCGGTGGAGCTCCCAATGGGGCCACGAAACGTGCGAGGGGTGCGCCGAAATGGGGCGGAAGAGGAGGGGGGGAGCGAGGTGGAAGAGTGGAAGGAGGGAGGGGGCGAGGGGAGGGGATAGGGTCGGATAAGGGGTAGACAATTCACGAGGGTGCCGAAAACCAAAAGGGTGCCGAAAACCAACAGGGTACCGAAAGCCAAAGGGGCGACACCAAGAAGGCCGCCGAAACCCAAAGCGGCGCCGAAAACCAAACGGGCGCCGAAAACCAAAAGGAGCGCCGAAAACCAAAAGGGCGCCGACAACTAAGAAGGCGCCGAAAACCAAAAAAAGCGCCGAATAACAAACGGGCGCCGAAGACCAAAAGGGCACCGAAAACCAAGAGGGCGCCGAAGACCAAAGAGGCGCCGAAGACCAAAAGAGCGCCGAAAACCAACATGTCGCTGAGCAACGAGCAGCCTTTGGGGGGTAACTTCGCCCCGCCGCGCAGGTCGTCTTCGTCATCGTGGCCGTCGTCGTCGTCGTCGTCGTTTTCGTCGTCGTGGTCGTGGTCGTCGTCGTTGTCCTCCTCGCCGTCGTCGTCGTCGTCGCTGTCGTGGTCGCCGTTGTTGTCGGCGTGGTCGTCGTCGTCGTGGTCGACGTCGTGGTCGTCGTCGTCGTTGTCGCCGTGGTCGTCTTCGTCGCCGTCGTGATCGTCGTCGTCGTGGTGATCGTTGTCCTGGTCGGTATCGTCACCGTCGCCGTCGTTGTCGTCGTCGTCGTGGTCGTCGTCGTGGTCGTCGCCGTCGTCGTCGTCGTGGTCGTCGGCGTGATCGTCGTCGTGGCCATGGTCGTCGTCGTCATCGTAGTCGTAGTCGTCGTGGTCGTCGCCGTCATCGTCGTGATCGTCGTCGTCGTTGTCGTCGTCGTCGTGGTCGTGGTCGTCCTCGTCGTCGTCGTGGTCGTCGTCATCGTCGTCGTCGTGGTCGTCGTCGTCGTTGACGTTGTCGGCGTTGTCGTCGTCGTCGTCATGGTCGTCGTCGTCGTCGCGGCGTCGTCATCTTGATCGTTGTCGTCGTCGCCGTCGTGGTCGTCGTCGTCGTGGTCGTCGTCGTCGTGGTCGTCGTCGTCATGATCGTCGTCGTCGTCGTGGCGTCGTCATCGTGGTCGTCGTCGTCGTGGTCGTGGTCGTCGTCGTCGTGGTCATCGTCGTCGTCGTGGTTGTCGTCGTGGTCGTCGTCGTCCTCGTCGAACGCAGCGGCCGCAGCGGTGGCGGCCTCACGTCCGCGAGCGCGTCGGCCACGGCCAAAGCAGCCTCGAGGGCATAATCCTCCTCCGTCTCGTCCTCCTCATCCTCCTCCTCCTCTTCCTCCTCCTCTTCTTCTTCATCCTCCTCTTCCTCCGCCTCCTCCCCTTCCTCCTCCTCCTCCTCCTCATC